TCTGATTGTTATCACACTTAATTGTTATGTTACATTTATTTAGTTCAAATAATGAAAATTTGAATTAAAATTTTATTTAAATATTTAATAAATGTTTTTTTTATAGAGCTATCATCAACAGAAAATATACATGGTATTAAAAGAAAAAATCCATCAGCATCAAAAAAAAATATGTACGGTCTGTTTAAAGAAAAAGCTAGATCAAAAAAATGAACACGAGAAAGCAAAAGCTGAAAGGCTGAAAATGGACAAGAAATTCCTTGCAGTTTTGACTAAATTAGCTGAAAAGTAGTTAATGCTTAACTTATAAAAAGTATCTTTTAAAAAATACAATGCTTTTCCATTCCTTTTTCCAAAGTTATTATAGCTAATCATAACTAAAGTCTCTATTCTGTAACGTTTAACAATCGTATTTCATATTCTGTAAGAATTGATCAATCATAATAGAGTATTCTACTTTTACAGTCGAATGAGAGGGGAATACTTGAGTGTGATTGATCAACTCTTACAGATTATGGAATATGGTTATGGCCAATATAAATGCCCTTTAATAAATTAATGATTAATAACACATCTTTTATTTTTTATGTAATATTTTTTTTGTTTTGTAATACCTCACACTTAGATGAATTTTAAGTTGGCGGCATACAATATTTTTTTCTCGCTGAATTTATATTTTGCTACCTTATATTTGCTACTTTATATTTTGACAATCGAGAATTCAGCAAGAAAACATGCGTCGTGTGTCCTCAAGTTTTACTTATTGTTTTGTGTAAAAAGAGAAATTTATATTAATTTTATTTTGTTTAATACTGATATATTACACTCATGTTATACTACTTATATAAGACAAAGTTATTATACGATCTCATTTACGTTTACTTTACTACATTTATCAAAACAATTAAAAAACTTATAATATAATAGTTTATATATGTTTTGTATTTCTTATATTTTATAAGTATATCTGTAAAACCTGTAAATGTGATGTTCTTGTAAATAAAATTATAACACATCAAATAAAGAGCAATGAAATTGTGGTATGAAGCTTGTGCCTCTTGCGTTATGTGTAACGCGCCTTTTCTCATTCAATGCCCTGTGGCTTGCGTTGCGTGGTGCACTGTAGAATTTACTGAATGCTGCTTGATAGACAAAATTTCTTTATTTTGCTTGTACAAGAAAAGAGCTTAGCATGCTCGTACGGATGAGAAGATACAATTAAACTTAGAAGTAAAAAAAATGTCATGTCGTCTTGTAACGAACGG